ACAATTTCCTATCTTTTTCCGCAAAATTTGTTTTTTTTTTCCTTTTCTGCCATTCATTTACAAAAGCTTGTAAATTAGGTTACCCACCATTTCCCTCTTGCCGTCAATATTTCCTGCGAGTGTCAAGCTTTCTAACTCTTCTCCCCTCAGCAGATGTTCTTCAAAATTTCAACTATATCTTTCCGGTTCCAGGGAAAAAAAAAGTCGTCCCTGTTTCCATTTTCCTTATATCTTCCTTGTTACTCACATGTTCAGTCCATGGTATTTTCATCATCCTTTTGAAGAACACTATTTCTGTTAGCTCAATTCTGGTATACAAAGTTTACATACTTTATTCCTCTCGGATATGTACAGAGCTGCATATCCGAACAATTCCAGATATGTTCAAATGCCTTTAACAGCTCGGAGATTCATGCTTGTTTATTAGCGTGTTATAAAGGAATAAATATATTTTTCTTCTTTTCTGAAATTTAAAAATTTATTTAATTAATTGCTCGTGTCAGTTATAATTACTAAAAATAAATTTGATTCCTTGATTCGTCCTTATCAGAAAATGGCGTCTGTGCCGCAATTATACGGATAACGAGAATGAGGCTATAAAAATGTTGCTTTTTTTTTGTTTTTTCCAGCTCTTGATTTCATTTTGCTTGCGTAAATTTCTATCTGTCCTCATCAAAATCCATACAAACAAGCTGCGAATATTTAGGGTACGGTAGGTGCATGGCAAGTCTATAGAAATACCCTCCCCTGCCCCCGCCAACAACAATAATCAGAAGAAAACTGCAGCTGACATTTCGAGAATGCTTCCGTACTTTATGAGCAGCAAAATACGATAGGAGTAATTATGACGGGTTTTTGATGTGGTGATGTAATTAGGAAAATTATTTGCCTGTTTGACGATGACCCTCTCGTTTTGTAGTTAACGTTCACCGACGGGAAAGTGGCATACCAGAAAATGATTGGTTATTTAGTTAAAAAACGGGTGGGATAAAAAAAAAAAATAAAAAAATTGGGGCACGCATGGTTGTTTACTAAGTGTAGATTACTTTGTCAGGCGGATGCAAATGTAGAACGCATAGTGAGGGTTAAACTCACTACAGCTGCAGTTATTATTTACAAACAAGCAACATCTAGTGTCGAACACCCGGTGAAGAGTGAACTCACTACATCAGTAATTATTATTTACCAATTTCAGTATAATTTGACACCTAGTGCGTTTCGATAATCTTAGCCAAATCGATTAGTAATGATTTATATATATATATTAATTTTACTTTTTCATTCAAATGTCTGAGCAGGCGAATGACAAATTATAGGATGTTGTGGAGAGGCATGATTACCTACGCCATAACTGGAAACGGTTCATGAAAGGAGAATATTTTTTGTCGTTTTGAAATTACTTTAAAGAAGAAAGAAAATTTGATGAAATTTTTCAATGTTTAAAATAATGTTATTCTCTTTTCGAGAACTTTGAAAACAATCATTAACTTTCCAAATTGATCATCGAAAGCTGAAGAAATTATCGATCGAAATGCTATATTATCAAGGACAAGAGGATTTCAATTGCTCGAAATAAATCTATATTGTCATTCTCTTTGTTTGTTTTTATTGCCTGGGATAAAAGTCTAGTATCTGTTCAAACCCCGGCCATTTCTGAGTTGGAGTCAGTTATGCTTTTTCTAACTGAGAAACGCTTTGTAATAATATTATGCTTTGAAAAATGAGGAAAATCAAGGACGAGATTATTGAAGAGAGTTTGAATTAGACAAGATAGTAGGAAATAAGAAAGCGAGAGAGAACTGAAGAGAACAAGATGAAATATACCCCCTAACGAGTGGAGAGAGTAATTGCTGGAGGATCCATCTACGAAACTCTGGAGTCGGGATGCTAAAGGTCACAACAATTAGCTAAGTGGCAAACGTCATATTTCAATTATATATATATATATATATATATATATATATATATATATATATTGGGTTGACCCATAAGAAGTTCGTGCGCTTATTAAATAAAAGATTAACTTAATAAATCGAACGAAATGTTTGGCGAATCCAATATATACAGGAATCCATCGATTTGTGTGGCTAATGTATACCGGTAACTATAAAAGAATCGATTTTCAATTTGTACAGTTAAACTGAAGACTGTTTTATCGCACTAATCGAGTATTATGTATTCAATAATCGAATTTTGGTATATCTAAATTTTAGCGCACTAATCGAAAAAGCATTAATCGAATGAGCATTAATCGAGGGATTCCTCTCTCTCTCTCTCTCTCTCTCTCTCTCTCTCTCTATATATATATATATATATATATATATATATATATGTATGTATGTATGTATATACAATCAGATAGAGGATTAATACAAATATAACAAATATATACAAATATAAATTTGTCACTTAGCTGATTGGTGTTACCTTTACTATAACGACTCTAGAGTTTCGTAGATGAACTCTCCAGCAAACACCCTGTCCACTCGCCAAGGAACATATATATATATATATATATATATATATATATATATATATATATATATATATATACAGACCGAGAGCGAAAGAGGAGAAGGGACAAATATGAAAGACTCACAGAAAGACATTTTTGATAATTAGAGGCAATAAAGTAAAAGATTAAAAGAATATTTTTACAATGATGTTCACCCTGCACAAGGCCGAAGAGTCACTCGAAGTAGAGGGTACAGATTAAAAGGCTGTGTTTACAAGGATATGTGAAGAAGATAACGGCTGACCCTTGACTTGAATATGTTAAGATTGTAGTGATCGAGGAAGCATCCTCTTGGGAGCCCGTTTCACAAAGAAGCGGATCATCAGAAGAAGCTTCTCGAGTGGAACTTACATCTCACCAGTGTAATACGAAAATGTGGGTGGTTCGCTACAATGGGCGTGGCACGGCGGGTCTTAGCCGTTAATGTTAGAACTGGTGGAACTAAGCGACGTAGTTAGTCTGAGTACTTTCAATAGAAACAGCGATTGATCAGCGACGGACTTGCGACTTTTTGTCAAGAGGATCTGGTGAATTTAGCACTCACATGACCTATCGAAAGCCCCGGGGTGGGGGACAACGAGCAACCTACCTAATGTGCTTTTGTAAATGGATGACAGTGTAGGGACTGGTAGAGTAAGTAAGCAGTTGCTTAGAACTACAAAGTATAGAAGGTTGTGGAGAGCCATGACTGTCTGCGTCCTGAAGGAGCGTTTAAAGCTATATCTCATATTGTTCTCTTTGTAATACTGCCCAATTACTGTTCGATCTGTTTCCACAGACACTGAGTATGTACTACCCAACCCAGAGATTGAACTCACAACTACTATCTCAGCAAATTCATTAATTTACGTTTTAATCCTTCAGGCTATTTTCCCAGCAAATCGACAGACAACTGAAGAATTCCAGATGGCACAACAGTCGAAATGCCGTGATATAAACAATAAAGATGAAAATATTAAATCTCATGTCGTGCGAGACATTTTTTCTCTCCAGAATCTATCTTAGATATCTATAAGTCTACCATTCGCTCATGCTTAGAATATTGCTGACACATATGGTCTAGTGCCCCTGATTGAGCTCCTTGATAAGATCCACAGAAGAATCAGCAATATTATTGGTCCTGATCTGGCGGCTCGGCTTCAGTCACTTTCCTACCGCCTTAAGGTTGCTTCTTCGTGTCGTTTTTTTTTCCCTTCCCACCACAGACAATGAATTGTACATACGGGAACTAGTTAGGATTTTTATAGAGACAATGAGGTATTATGGTGGCTGTAGTAAAAATGGTAAGTAAGAATGCGTTGTTTTGGTGTAAGGAATATTGTGGTATGTATGGGTCAGTGACTGTGGCTAGTTTAATGTTAAGACAGAAGACCATCCTTTTACCCATTCCTCATATTGGCCTTGTGCCACATTTCTGTAGATATTGCAGAATAAATATCGCTTTTCACTATGGCAAATAGACTTTATAAATTTAAGCGCTGTATTAAACTGGTGTCGAGATCTCATCCATTTAAAGTTGAGCTGCTCCAGATGGAGCCGTAAGTTCTATGCTAACAGTTTCTTTTCTCGAAATTTTCGCTTTTGAACCTCCCTTCTGGTTCCATGCATTCTAGTCAATCTGCAAAAATTTAAATGCAATGTCAATCGCTATTGTCGCTCATTATTAATGTTTCTATTCCTAATTTTTCTACGCCCTGTAATTCCTTGTGTCTTAGTGGCTTTACTGCCTTGCATGGGGTGATAATGCTTAAAAAAAGTCTAATTTAAAATTGCCTGTTAAATCTATAAATTGTGTAATTCCCATTGTTCAGAAGACAGTGAAAAAATACAAGTCATTTTATGACACAACACAATGGACATTATACAAAAGATAATTTGATTCACTAAAGTACTTTCATTTGCCCGCTTTATCTCTTTATCTATCCACATAGCTTTGTATTTGTGTGTACACGCTCTCACGCATGTTTGAGTGTATGCAACCTGTTTTTAACCACCTAAACTAAAGTTTGTGTGAATAGATGGCGGAGGTAGGGGGTAGCAAAGGTTGAAAAACAGCTGAGGGCCGCAAGAGAGAAGGAGTTTTGGTGAGCCAGGATCTCCCATGTCCTGAAGGGACACGAAGAAGAAGAAGAAGAAGAAGAAGAAGAAGAAGAAGAAGGACTGGAAACCGTGATAATATTTATATCGTGTGAATGTATTCTGTACTCTTACTCAGCACCATTCTAAATGTAAAATTACTTCCCTTTCAGTTTGTGTGGGAGAAAAAGAAAAAAAAGCGACCAATACCACCGCCGCCGTCATCTAGTCATAGGACGGGACTTCGATTGCTAATCGGTGTGCATCCAATGCCCGCTAATCAGACATGACAATGACGCGAAACGAGTTTAGGCAGCAAAAAGGCGATACAATGACCGATGGTTAGGTATTATGTAATTACACGTAGGAGGACGGGGGAAGTTGTTTAGAATAATTCAGGGCGCCGACAATGATCTCTTCCGCTCGAAATGGAAAGTTGAAACACTCCCCTCATTCCACAGGACCGGAAGTTGATATCGGTAATTGGATGAAGTATCCGGAAGTTTAGCAACACCGGTTTCTCAAAGAAATATTAATAAGTGTTATGAGAAGCAGTAATTGCTGTAATGCCAATTAATTTCGTAATCTAATTGAATTAATTGATTAATTGACTGATTAATACGCTAGCTGAATAATCACTTATTGGTTTTATTTTCGTGACATTGGTGCTACAAACTGAGAAGAAAAATGTAGCATATACACAGGATAGTTGCAGAATTCGGTTTTGTACCCATAAGAAATGTAAAATATATGGATTACATTACTACTCAAAGAAATCAAATGTACTCTTTCTTTTATAAGCTATGTCGTTCAGGTCGTAGGTGACCATGACTCTCCACTACTTCTAATATTTCATCCTGCCCTTGTTCGCTCAAACTCGTCAAGTAGATTATTTACTGTTTCTTCTTATATCATGTAAGCGTTAAATTCTCCAAGCCTTCTTTCCTCGTTATATTAATTTCAACACTTTCAGATTGCTAGCAGAAATTTTTTGTCTCTTCTTTAAAACATCCAATTGTCTTTTTAACTATGCTTCTCTAGTTAAAAAAAAAAATAGGTGAATACGCCTACTCGAAGTAACATAAACCTAATTTGGCTTACAACCGTTCCAGTACGATCACCGAAGTTAAGCAACATCGCATCTGGTCAGTACCTAGATGGGTAACCGCTTGGTAATGCCAAGTGCTGTATGCACGCTAATTTGGCTTACGACCGTAACACGTTGAAACATCGGTTCCAGTATGATCACCGAAGATAATAACGCCGAAACTGGTCGATGGGTGACCGCTTGGGAATACCAGATGCTGTAAGCTCGGGTGTGCGAGTGGTGTAATAGATAATAATACGCAATTGTTAGTTGGAGAGCCGAGTTCCGATTCTCGTTGGGTTACTTATATTCATTTACGCGCAAATACCTTTCCTCCTTCTAGCTATGGGTTAATTAGTAAGACTTGTATCACTAAAACCATTATTATTATCTGTCGACAAAAAATCAAGGAGCCTAAAAAATAATTTAAAATTACATTTTCAGCATTTCCTAACTAGGCATAATTAAAACCAACGTTTACATTTTTATATTCTCCCCCCCCCCCTCATGCGCATATACAATTACATCAATAAAACATTACTTCTAGGACGAAAAGCGTAACACAGTTTTTTTTTCCACTATGTCATTAATTTGCCTAATCTATATCTATATATATATATAAAGACATTTTTATGTTTATACATTCTTTATATATATACAAATATGTAAGTAAATGCTCTGTTTATAATAAATAGTATTAATAACATTTACCGGCCTGAATGTCCGAGAAATTTTTATAGAAAATATTCGCCCTCCTACAGGAATCGAACCTGTATCCTATACGGAACCGTCATATAGCCTGACGTGCCTTAACCGATTGAGCCACAGAGGATCGTTCGGTTAGCAAGGTCAATTTTACTGTTTTTAAACTACAACCATGAATCTCTTGCTGTTTATTATAAACAGAGGATTTACTTAAATATTTGTATCTATAAAAAGAATGTGTAAACATAAAAATGACTTAACATATATATATATATATATATATATATATTCATCTTGCACATTTATGAATCTGCCATTCGCCCGTGCATCGAATACTGCTGACATATCTGGTCTGGTTTTCCTACAATTAACCTGGAGGTTTTCGACAAAATCCAAAGAAGGGTTTGTAATGTAATCGATCCTGACTTGTCATCTCGACTTCAGTCACTTTCTCCCCTACGTGGCGTGGATTCCCTCTCGCTTTTCTACAAATATTTTCATGGCAACTGCTCCGATAAGCTGTTTTTCATCTGGTGCCCCTACTATATGAAATTAAATGGGATACTAGATTGGCATTTAGGTCTCACCCGTTTATTGTTGAAATAGCTAAATACAACCGCTACTTCTACTCCAACAGTTTCTTTTCTCGTACTTCCCGTCTGTGGAACTCCATCCTGTTTACTTGATTCCCTGATAACTACAATCTTCTTTTGCTTTCACTCTCTGTAGCACCCTGCGTGCCAATGGCATTTCCCCCTTGCTTCGGGTGAAATGATTACTATATATATATATATATATATATATATATATATATATATGAATATACGAATGTAAAGAGAACGAAAATAATATATAAATGCTAACGTTCACAATATTGTTTCAAAAGAGGGCTCAATACTGATAGTAGAACAATAATTATTTATTATAATTTTTTATACAGACAAAAACAATTTACTCACGATAAAAATGTAACTTCGTTTCAGTGCATTTAAAATTGCAATTCTCACCTGTCAAAGTGCAATTTTAAATGCACTGAAACGAAGTTGCATCTTTGTAGTGAGTAAATTGTTTTTGTCAAGATTAAAAAATTATAATAAATTATATATATATATATATATATATATATATATATTGTTTTAGTCATCAAATATTCTTTAAGGCAAATATTATTAAAGATAACAGACATTTTCTGTCGATTAATTTAACTGATCGACTTTTCAAAATTACGAACAATCCTTCTCAGGCAACGAGGACATTTCGGTTTATTTCGAAATAAATGTCGTCCAAGCTTTCGACTTGCTTAAGTCATCGTCAGGGTAGGCAGAGACAAATGCTGAGTTTCGTAGAACTAGTTGATGTTGTGACGTAGTCAAAGAGTTAAATCCAAGATCAAAGAAATTAACAGATTATTTTTTTTTATAGCTAATCACCATTTGTTATACTTTTTGCATAATTAAAATATAAACAGATAACCAGATTTAAATTGTTGTTTAAATATCACTAAAATTAATGACATGAGAATGTCTCTCCATGGTCCAGGCTCATCCTCCGTGTTGCTATTACCGAAGCCAATTCGTTCTTTACTAGCCAAACCCGACTTTTTGGGCCGTTACTGACCTATCCATGTTAAATATCAAATATGCTTACTATGGCGCAATAGATAGCACAATAGTCGCTTACATTCCTTTCTCTTCTTCCTTATTGCAAATTCCCTTGGGAAGAAAGTGGCTCACAGCTTCATCACGTTGTGTCACGTTGTGTTGGATCTATGGTTCTCTGCAGCGAGTTGATTTTACGTTACGAGTGGGGGGAGTTGCCGCCCCAAAACCAAATGATTTTAAATTTCTAGTTATTCTTCTCCTAGACTGAATGACTACCAAGGCTAGAGAGCCTAGATTGCTTTGCTATTTAATCCATAGCTGGAGCAATCTCTGAGATTATTACTAATATAATGCATTTGATCCTCTCTGGGGAACACACAAGAAAGTAAATCTACTATATAGTGATAAATCTACGATAGAGTTACAGTGTAATGAGTTAGGATGTCACTGGGTGCCCTAATAACAGCCTTATGTCAGACCGAAGTTCAGCTTGATAAGAAAAGAATTATTTCGACATGTACTTGTTAACGAGGTTGTCTCCCAGGCAATAATTAGTGCAGAAACTTCAGAATTCCATTTTCATTTTCTGAAGCTTCCTTTTTTTAGTTTTAATATTCTTACTGTAGAGGTTTTTTATCTATTTTTGCTAACATTAAAAAATAAAAACGAAAAAAAAACTATTATCAGAAAGAAGAAAGTCACTCTATGTACAAATCTAAGTCAAACTTTGGAACAATAGCCAGAAAAGAATCAGCGTGTCTGGAATATAATTACTAGAAAGATTATTTTAAAAAAATATTGATTTAAACTCTTTCCTTAGACACTAACAAACATTTGTTACCGTTAGTCACCCAAAGTCATGTATGTTTAACCTCGAAATCTACTCGCTGTGACACAGTAGTTAGCACGCTACTCTCCCTAACCCTAACCCTAACCCTTCATTTTCTTAGTCCCAAATCCCGTGTTGCTGCTGTGGTTTCTGTAGTAAGTTTTTAGAGGCGGAGTTGACATTCGGTTTTGAATTCAAAGTTTTCCTTCTCATAGACTGGTTAACAACCAAGGCTAAAGGGCCTAGTTTGCTTTGCTGTTTAATACACAACTGAGGCACTTTTCCACATTGTTACTACTTTAATGTGTTTCATACTCTCCGGGGAACACACAAGAAAATGTACCTACTATAGCGTGATAATTGACTTGCAGGCGAATGTATTAGTGTAATGACTTCAATCGTCACCGGGTACCCTAATAGCTGAACCTTATGCCAGATTGAAGTTCAACTTGATATGAAACACTGTGCCTCGACATATAAGCTCCGAGATAATTATTCTTGCAGAAACTCCAATCTTCCATTTGTAACCTTGTACGGGATGAAGCTTGGCTTAGTAAGAAGCGCATGTCGCTGTGGAGGGGGGGATCATTCTTAATCTTCTCGTCTCTCAGGTAATTGTTGCTGTATAGTGAGTTCGTCTCTCAGGTAATTGTTCCTGTATAGTGAGTTCGTTTCTCAGTGACTGTCCTCGGTTTGTGGTCTAAAGTTCATAAATATTCACATAAACATAACTCTCTCTACATTTAGACACCAATAAGCCCTTCCACATTTGTTACTAAAAAAGCGTCAGTTGCTGTTTGGTTTGATGTATGTATTAATAAAGAATTTAAAATGTTATCCTCGAACAAGTAAATATTCAGACATTTCATCATGTGTCAGGTACTGGTGTTATGTATAGAAGACTGATCCCCAAAGTAAACGAATATTTACCTTGGATAACATGTATATTCTAGATTAGTAATTTCTCCAAATGAAAATCCATTAAAACCTTTGCTATGAAAAGCACCAAAAATCTTTCTCAGAGAGATATCTTCACATATGACTTCTTGAATGTTCTCCCATAAAATTTATAACTTCCAACATTCATGTTTTTATAAAGAGTTCGAAAGATATGATAATGTTTTTAATAAAATAATTCTACCCTTCGCACCAGTAGGTACAAAAATCAACGACAAATTTCAACTGACCTTGATTAAGAAAAAGGACAAAAAACAGAAATATATTTTGAATGACGCTAAATCTTAAAAGTTTGAACGTAAAAATAACAGACTCAACTGAATGCTTTCAGACATTATGGGAGACTTTGTGGCAACAGAAACAAAAGTGAGAACAATGTTTCACTTAGTCTAGTGACTTATAAAGTGAATGTAATAAGCAAGCCAGTGTTCTGAACACTCGAATGCAACCACAATTATTTCAGTTGTGGAATAACGTTTTCTTTCAATTATTTAATTTGTTATACCAGATAACTTAAAAGACTTTAATAGCATATTATTACTTATACACACTAAACAGTTTCGTTTCTCCTCGTTCATATAAAAATAAAATTGTATCAGCTTTCGATGTTATTTCCAATTAAATAAAACATGTACAATTGATGTGTAGAAAATGGTCAACATAGAAAATGGTCAACATAGATTCTGATTTTCTTTCAATTATCTATCTCCTCGACTCAATAAGAAGTTGCTTTCTTTTTCAAACTTTCTTTATTTTTCTTTTATGTAAATGTTTTTTTTTTTTTAATTATTTTATTTAACCACTTTTTCCTTACCCAATCAGTTTTGTGAGAACGATTTACAAAGCGTAGCTTAGAAATGACACAAGGCCGAAAGTATGGCGCACCCACTAAGGGTCGAACTCCCAACTCAGTCGGAGAGTTTTGCGAGAACAGATTATGAGAAACATATATAGGCAGCAAATTGAACATAGCTAATGTAACAGAACGCTACACTATTTTATTGATCTTAGATGATATTTAGTCCTTTCGAGAACGTGATTTTCCTTTTTATTATACAGTTTTATTAAATGATGAGACAAAGTGGAAAATGTACAAACGATGCGTTTCGTCGAGTGTCTGCTCTCTTTGACCCTTCTCAGGTTAGAATCAAAGAACGACAAAACTATATGTCAGGAACCGAAATATGGTAATAAATATGGGGGACCGTAAATCAAATTACCTTATTATCACCTCCAATGTCAAGATATATATATATATATATATATCAAAAGCAAGCAAGGGAACAGACACTCTCTTTGTACGGTGGAATGTCGAAGACTTTATTTTCGCTCCACGTAGTTAATGGACATAAGTAATCAGTCACCTCCTGTCAATTCCATCTTCCAGTTTCTCCACTGCCTTAATCGGATATGGAACCTCACACTCTTTGAATCCTGTCACTGAATCTAACCAACGCCTTTATCCACTGTGCCATGTGTCCTCGAGAACAATTCGCTATGAATTTCTGGTATTATAAACCTAATGTCGCCAGCAATCATCCTTTTTACCAGTGCTCATATTGCAATTTTTGCTGTTATCATTTCAGTTTTTACCAGAGCTCATATTGCAATTTTTTGTTGTTATTATCGTTTTTCTCTGGTACTCCTTATTACTGGTAAATTATAACATAAATATGGACAGAAATTGGGTGCTACTATAATATGACATCTACCGAGGCATTTGTGACCTTCCGTAAATACCGATGTACTTATTATTGGTGGAAAATGTCCAGGAAAAACGATGACCTGTTTACTGTTTTTTTTTAAAATGACATCAAATCAGTTTACAAACATTAACATCACTATTTGATTATTACTTTTTTTAATTTTCTGTATAAAAAGTGTTAATGACTTTACATACACGCTTAGACGATCATGTATCTTTCGATACAAGCCTGACGAGGCAGATGTTTTTTTTCCCGCAGTAGGTTGCCATTTCTTTCTGCGGTAGGCCAGTTGCCATCCAAGGCTATAGAACCCAGTCTGTCCTGCTATTTACCCATAGCTGGTGGGGGGGGGAGAGATTCATCCCTTTCCCACAAGTGAATGTAATGGATTCGACTGGACTTCGATCTCGATTCTCTGATTCCACACTCCGAGCCTCTATCCTCTACTCCACCGTGCCTCCTATATCATACAATAGTAAACCGATAATTGTCTATAAACCGAAATAAATGGTTATCTAAAATGTGAAATGTTTTTGAGAACACGAAAGATTAGTGAAAAGAAGTGTAGTCAAGCTGTAACAATGGTTGCCATGTCAGCAAAGAACGTGGAGGCAATTTTGTGTTTACCCCGATAAAATAATAGATCCTTTCTCTTAATTAAGTCTAGATTGTTTTAATTTCTGCTTTTATTTAGTCTAAACGAGATTTTCTTCTATATGTCGTGATCCTCCAGGAAGTTGACGATCATGACTCTCCACAACATTCTATCCTTTTTTTGTTTCTTTACTATCCTTCCCGGCCTCTGTATAAAGTTAAAAAACGAAACCTTTTAGGTTTCGTTTTTTAACTTTCGTAAATTAGAAAATCACAATATGACGAAAACTTATTTTTTTCTTTTACCTTTAATGTTAACCTAAATAAACAAAAATACGCTATTATTTCATGTTTGTTGATATTTCATTTGTTACGATAAAATCAAAAAGCGATCTTGTTAACTGAAAACTAAACGCTCCAAATATCATCTAACTACAAAAACAGAAATCATAGTTAATAGTTAAGGCAATAATGTCGACTTTTAAGCTTTTATTAAAGAAAATCTTAGACTAAATCAAACTGGCATTTTCTATTAGAAGAAGAATGTCATTTTTGCTTTGTAATTTTTTTGTTCTTGTTAAGTATAGTGTTGGAAGGTTAACATAAGAGAAAAGGCGACATATAATACGGTTGACTCATTTTGCGACAATAATGCTGTTTTGGAGTACAAAATGCTGTCCGTTAGCCAGAAAAATTGTATAATAAGTGGGATGAATAAAACCGACATTGTGAGAGGAGGTCGTTAAAAAAAAAGAAAAGAAAAGAAAAAAGAAAATCTAAGTGGAACACGAGAATGGTTAAGGAAAATAATGCTGATGGCGGTGATAATAACAGGATATAGGTGAATTGAAGAAAGATGGCGTTAACCAGGAAGGGATATCATTTGATGCTGGACTAGAGTTACCGACTTTGCACTGGCGCCACTAGGTGGCAGTGTCTTTGTTATGACAACAGAGTTACCAGGTGTTTACGAAGCTAGGAGGGGAAAAAAACGTAAGAGTAGAGTATAACAATAGGCTGGACCGATAGTTGTGGATGTGCAGGTGGCGCAGCTGTTATAGACGCAGAAAGGGAATTCGGCGAAGAGAGCTCAAATTCCGGCATAGCCTGTTGCACTCAATTCGTAACCATGAAGGCATGAATTCATCTATTCTCTACCTAAATATTGGTCCGGTGGCAGGGTAGCTCTGCCGTCGAATAACAGCCAGTCTAAGAGAAGGTAAATGTGACTCTACTTTGAATGGCTCTTGGGCATTGTATTGGTTAAAATTTAGTATAAAAACGAAGAGAAGGCAAAAGGAAACTACTACACTACCTTTTCCAAGGCGTCACGGAAATTCATACATAGGAAGGTGTGGAGAGCCACAATCGCTTAGGTCCTTATTGAGATATGTCATCAAAAAATAATAATAATTGAAAAAATATTTAAAGACTAGCGTACACACACACGCACATCTATCTATCTATCTATCTATCTATCTATCTATCTATCTCTCTTTTATAATCTGGTGTTCTTAGCAATTATTTTTATTTAAAAAAAATAGTGCTTGATAGAAGAATTAGAGCAAAATATAATTATTTTCTTTTTAAAAATATGATTCCATTGCGACACAGAAAATTTCTATATTTCAAAACTGAAACTAAATTTATAAATTTAATAAATTTTAAGTTTAATTTTTATAATTAAATTTATAAATTTAGTTTCAGTTTTGAAACAGAAATTTTC